TCCCATTGCCCATTGCCAGCTTCTGGCAGAGATTAGGGATTCTTCAGAGCATGTTTTTTCATCCCCGCCCATCCTGGCTAACGGCCATTGAGAGACCTAACTTCCATGAACGTATATAGTTACTTTTCAAACCTTTTTTTTTTTTTTTTTAATCTTACAGTTCTAAGGCTTTAAAATAGCTCTGGAATTTCTCCCTAATTAGCTTTTGCAAAGAAATCTTTCTTCTCAAGATCTCACACTCTGTGAAATTTAATTTTTTGTTAACAAAAGACAGAAATAGTTTAGTAGTAAGAAAGGTTAGTAATTTTTCTGAGTGGAGATGTCGTATCTTCCTTAAATTGTCCTTTTGCCATGCTTTAAATATTTGTGTTTAAGGGAAATGTTATAGATCAGGGTTGTGACATAGCAATTCTCTTCCTCATTATTTGAATCATTTTTAAATTAAATATATTTAAGATTGATTGTTTTATCCTGGTTTGAATTAAGAGTAAGAAGATGATAAATTGAGATGTAGTATTTTAGTGTTAACTACAGCTAATCTGTACAACTGTGAATTTTATTCTAATTTATTCTGTTGATGTATGAACTAACCACTGTGACCTTTGCACACATGAGTTATGGTTTTTTGCTTCCTGGTTCTAAATGTAGAGATCAGTTACTGAAGCACTAATTGAGCAGGCATGATCCTGCATAGCAACAGGAAAAAGGTCACATGGGGGAGAAAAATAACATCCTCTAAAGATGAATTTTTAAATTCTGCATCTTGTACATAGGCCTACATCAGCTTTGTCATTACATAATCCATTAGAAATAAAAATAATCCAACCCTTGAGTACTACTGCGTCTCAGTCCAACGCTACCATCGACCCCACACAATTATATACACCATGATAAAATTCCTCCAATAGTAGGGATGTTAAAAAGCATTTTGTTTTGGGTTGTTTTTTTTCTTTGGTTAACGTGGGTAGGTGGCTCCATGAGAGCCAGTGCTTGTGGTGAGCCTGCTTAAAAGCTGGCTCCCCGCAAACACTGACTCTCACACGTGCTTCTCAAAGGACTTTGGATGACATGATACATGTGTGACTACTAAGATATGAGTTTTCAATGTGGTGGTGAGACTACCCTGTAATACAGAGCAGAAACAAAATCATTAAAACAGCTGAGGACAGAAAACTAAACAGTTTTCCATATCTCATAGACTCATAGACTTTAAGGTCAGAAGGGACCATTATGATCATCTAGTCTGACCCCCTGCACAGCGCAGGCCACAAAATCTCACCCACCCCTCCTAGAATAATCCTCTCACCTATATCTCAGATATTGAAGCCTTCAAATACTTTGAAGACCCCAAGATGCAGAGAATACAGGCAGTCCCCGGGTTACGTACAAGATAGGGACTGTAGGTTTGTTCTTAAGTTGAATCTGTATGTAAGTCGGAACTCGCGTCCAGATTCAGCCGCTGCTGAAACTGACCGCCATTTCTGACTTACATACAGATTCAACTTAAGAACGCTGATCCTTCGGTGAAATTGTTTGTTTAAATCTTGAGGGGGAAAATGTCATTAAAATGCTTATAATAAAAATCTTGTCAGTTATTCCAAAGCTAGAAGGAGACATTGTGCTCAACTCGTCTGACCTCCTGTAGATCACAGTGCATAGAGCACCCCCAAAATAACCCCTTTTGAACGAGAGTATAGTTTAAATAAATACAATCTTGATTTTTAAATGGAGAATCCACCAGGTAAACTCTGCCAGTGGCTCATAGACTCATAGACTTTAGGGTCAGAAGGGACTATTATGATCATCTAGTCTGACCCCCTGCACAGTGCAGGCCACAAAATCTCACCCACCCCTCCTAGAATAATCCTCTCACCTATATCTCAGATATTGAAGCCTTCAAATACTTTGAAGACCCCAAGATGCAGAGAATCCTCTAGCTGTGATCTGTACCCCATGCTACAGAGGAAGGCGAAAAACCTCCAGGGCCTCTGCCAATCTACCCTGGAGGAAAATTCCTTCCCGACCCCAAATATGGCGATCAGCTAAACCCTGAGCATGTGGGCAAGACTCATCAGCCAGACACCCAGAAAGTTCTCTATAGTAACTCCTATCATCCCTCCATTGACCTATTTCCCACTGATAATGAATGGTCAATTAGTTACCAAGATCATGTTATCTCATCAAACCATCCCCTTCATAAACCCATCTAGTTTAATCTTGAAACCAGATAGATCTTTTGCCCCCACTACTTCCCTTGGAAGGCCGTTATGGTGTATTCTTAACAGCTATTGGTTTGACTTTGTCACAAATGAGGAGAAACTTGGATGATTCTGGCAAGCTGCAGTCATGCCCAAATGCAAACAGGGACTGCAACGATGGAGTCCTGTCCAACGGGCCGAAAAAGGAATATTTCTGTAAAAGATTTACAGAGCTGAGGTAAAAGGAAGTAGAGCAAGAGGCTAGGGATGTGACTAGTTAACCAGTTAACTGGCAGAGACCAGAGCAGCTGCCCCCCCTCCCACTGCTCACAGCAGGGTTGGGGGGAAGGCGCTGTGCTATTTAAATGCGTAACCGGTTAAACATAACATTCAACCAGTTAACTAATTAAATGGGATTTCTCATACCTAATGAGACCAGTCAAAAATGAGATTGGAAGATGTGATTTTTGAGGGATTTAAAAAGTCCAAATTCTCCCATACTCTCTCATGATGAAGAAAGATGACTTGCAAAGTACTGTTTAAGATGGAAATCCATTCTATGTGATGCCACAGGTACACTACATCCATGTGAAATTGCTACTGCTTAACTACAATAGTCTGGATAGAACAGCAATATGACTTTTTTATAGTCTCCACTGGAAAAGAGATTTAACTCAATTTTTAACTTTTTAAATTCTGTAGTACCAACTACCAGTAGGCTAAAGTTAGATTAACATTAAAGATATTTATTATCGTGCAGGTTGTAAAAATAGAGTTTAACTTGAATTTGATTTTTTTACTGTTTTTCTCTAGAAGACTGAATAAAACGTAGCATCTTACTTTGTATTTTCCAGGATTCTTCAAAGCAAGGATAAGAGCTCCATGGCCTCCCATTGAGTGCCCAAAAATAGACATCCTTTCTGAGTCAGCTGGAAAATTGGCTTTTATTAATTTAGGCAGCTGAAAAAAATTAAGTATGACAAAAAAAGACTAATAAATTTGGACTTTGAGAGTCATGCAAATTAACGTAATTTACTGTTGTGTTTTAATTCAGAAAAAACCAACAGATTAGAAGTACAGGTTGAACCTCTCCAGTCTGGTACCCTGGGGACCTAACTGGTGCCAAACCAGAGAATTTGCAGAATCACAGAGGTCAGTATTGTCTAGCAGCACTTCCACTGATTAGTGGGGTTTTAATAGATATTTCGGGGTAAATCAGAACTGAACAACAGCACAGAACACAGACCCAGGACAGGTGGCTATAAACAAACTTTATGGGATCATGAGAAAGTTGGCCAAGCCCATGGCAAGTGGGCATCCAGCTAACTAAACTCATGCCAGACCTTGGATGTTGCCAGACCAGAGTGTGCTGGGCTAGAGAGGTTGAACCTGCACGGCTACGTCTACACTGGCACCCTTTTCCGGAAATGCTTAAAACGGAACAGTTTTCCATTATAAGTATTTCCGGAAAAAAGCACGTCTACATTGGCAGGATGCTTTTCCGGAAAAGCACTTTTTCCAGAAAAGTGTCCATGGCTAATATAGACGCGCTTTTCCAGAAAAAAGCCCCAATCGTCATTTTCGCGATCGGGGCTTTTTTGCGGAAAAGACTACTGTGCTGTCTACACTGGCCCTTTTCCGGAATAGTTTTTCCGGAAAAGGACTTTTGCCCGAACGGGAGCAGCATAGTTTTTCCGGAAAAACACTGACAATTTTACAGTAGATCGCCATTGCTTTTCCAGAAAAGCAAGCGGCCAGTGTAGACAGCTGGCAAGTTATTCCGGAAAAGCGGATGCTTTTCCGGAATAAGTGGCCCAGTGTAGACACAGCCCACATGTTTCTTTGGTACTTGTATTTAATTCAACAGTTGAGGTGACAGTCTGAAAACTGTCAACTATTGAATACCACTATTAAAAGGAAACATTTCAAACATCTGACACTGCAATAATCTCATGGTCTATAACAGTGATTTTCAAACTATGGGTCATAAACCACTACTGAGTCGTGGAATATCAGGCACTGGGTCTTCTTGTTACAAGGGGAATCAGGTGACAAGCGGAAGTGCTAAAGCAGGCTACCTGCCTGTCCTGCGCTGTGGGGTAAAATAGAATGCTTGAGCAAAGCTATTAAGATGAATAACAAGACACAGAAGTCTGTTAATTTGCAGCATGCCTGGTTCAGATTAAAAACTAATGTTGACTGGAACATGAAATACAAAAGCTGCACCAGAACAAGTTGTCATTCTGCTGATTTTTGTGAGAACATATTTAAGGATTTAGCTGCTCCAGGTAGGCTCCTCCTGCCTCAGCCCTGATCCCTCAAAGCCAGAGCCCACTCTTACAGCCCAAAGCTCTCATCCTCAGCCCCAACCTGGAGCCCATATGCCAGTCAAATTAGGTTGGGTCACAGACTTGTAATACATGCACATTTACATGAATGTATTGCAGTAATATGTCTAGCCAATTAACATCTTGTAAACCAGTGGTTTTCAAACTCTTTTTTATCATGACCCAGTAGAAGTGAATCATTGATGCCTGTGACCCAACCTAATTTGACTGGCATATGGGCTCCAGGTTGGGGCTGAGGATGAGAGCTTTGGGCTGTAAGAGTGGGCTCTGGCTTTGAGGGATCAGGGCTGAGGCAGGAGGAGCCTACCTGGAGCAGCTAAATCCTTAAATATGTTCTCACAAAAATCAGCAGAATGACAACTTGTTCTGGTGCAGCTTTTGTATTTCATGTTCCAGTCAACATTAGTTTTTAATCTGAACCAGGCATGCTGCAAATTAACAGACTTCTGTGTCTTGTTATTCATCTTAATAGCTTTGCTCAAGCATTCTATTTTGAATTTGATGACATCTAACTAATGAAAATGGTTCAACTTTGATATGTATGATAAGCAGCCATTTCACTACCACAGTCCAATTAAAAAGAGATCAGTCCTTCTAATCAAGACAAAACAATGAGATTGAATTTAACACATTTAGCATAATTAATTTCATTGGGAAAAAGTCACCTCATCCTTTATGTATGAGTACATTCTATAGTTGGTTTTCCATGGTTCTTCAGTGGCATCTACATAGAATCCAGCACCTGTGCCGAAATCCCAGCTTTCATCTTCTCCTTCAATATTGCAGCCACCTACCATGAAAATATGTATTTATTGTCCCATCTTTATCAGATGTTTGATGCAAAGTGTTGAAGTTTTCACTTTTCTTCATCCTTTAAATCCTTTTCAAAAAGGTTTCAGATAAATACAGAAATGTTGTACACAGATTTATCAAGAGTTGTATGTGTGTGTGTGTGTGTGTGTGTGTGTATATCCCTTATTTTTAAATCACACATTAATTTTTTTAAACTATCAAAACTAGTCTCATTTACAGTCAGCTATTAACTTGACTGATTTTTACTGTCTAAACTGTGAATTTTTTATCAAATAAGTCCAGGGACATATTCAAAACAGAAAATGCAGTCTATTCTCTTGCCAAGTACAAGACACCCTATGCTACTAAATACTTTTGTATATTTTGTCCAGTCTACTTTTGACTTATTCAAATTACATGTTCCACTTCTTTCCCTGGGAGATTCCCAGTCTACTAAGTCTTGCCATCAGAAATATCTTCTGTAAATTAATACTAAATTCATCTCTTCTTTGTTTCATGTCAATTATAACCTCTTATAAAACTTAAGTCCTTCCTCTTTTGAATAATTGCGGACATATGCTCCTTCACCAAGACTATAATGTCAGTATTTGATTTTTATGTCTCCCATAAATACAGTCCATCCATCCATCCATCCATCCCTTATCCCTCTTCAGTTTGCCGATGATTTGACAATAATGGTCCCAGAACTCTTCTTCTTAGCATATGTGCAATATACCTCAGGTGGGATGTGACCAGGATTAATCACTGAATTTGGTCCCCTGAGTACTGAATGTAGTATTTAAGATGCCATTAACATAGGGACTACTACTTTCTTTCTTGATAACATGCCTTTGTTTATGCAAATCAGAATTACAAAAGTGACTTTTTGCCATCCTATTAAATGGGGAGTGTGTGTAGTCACTAAGAGTAACTGATAAGCCAAGGCTTATCGGTTAATCATGTAGTGGACTACACACTGACATCCCTAAAAGAGGCACTTGCAGGTCTCCAGCCTCAGTCTGAGTATCAGGACCTACACACGGGTGCCATGTTGAGTGTAAGCCCGAGACCAGAGAACCTGAAAAAAATGGGGGGCAGGGAGACAAGAGTCTGACATTGTCAATGTATGAGCTGAACTGCCCCCTCACCTTAATTTTAGGGCACTTTTATTAACATAGTTTTAATAATGGAGTTCTAAAGTTACAATTCATTTAGTGCAGGGCTACTCAACTTTGGAAGCCCCAGGGGCCACAATCATACCCAAAGTATATGCGGAGGGCAGCAACTTAAGAGCAGTTGCATATATATATAGATATGTAGATATAGATATGCAAATATATGCAAATAGCTTATTTCACATCGAAGAGCATAAATCCAAAAATTAAGGCAAGACTTCACAACACACAGGCCCCATTTAAGTCAGTTCTGCTTATATTAATAAAATGCAATATTTGCCCAATTTCCACCCATATGACAGCACTTTTAATAAGCAATGACAGTCCAGGAATTTAACTACTAAAACGCATATCCACAGAAAACCATTATATTGACTACTTTTTTGTTTTGGCTTCACAATTTTAACAAATCAAACAAAAACTGCCAATACAATATTTACTGAAATATAAGTACAATCAATGTGAAGTTAAAGGCACCGAGGGGAGAATGTGACATGGCTAGAAAAGGAACCCAGGAATCCTGCTTCCCAGAATCCCTTCCTTTCCCCTGCCTGCCCCACCCAGTACCAACTCCCACAGAGCAGAGACTGGAACCCCCAAATCTAACCAACAGACCCACTGCCCACATACAGGAAAGGAAAGAAGCCAGAAGTTTTAATGCCCAGCTCCCTCCTCTAACCCAATGCACCCACCCGTCTCCCAGAGCCAGGCACCCTCCAGCCCTCCTGCTCAAACCCAATGCTCCTCCCCTCCCACAGAGCCAGGTACCTCCCAGTCCTCTGCTCCAATGCCCATCCCCTCCCCAGAGCCGGGGACATTACCGGGGAGAAGGGCAATGCCCTGGGTCAAAACCAGAGCCATGCTCTTTTCCCTCCAGGCGCTGCAGCCTGTGTGCAGAGCAGCTATGAATGGTCCGGGTGTGCAGCTCTGAACATTATATTGAAGGCACGTGCCGCTGCCCCCTCCCCGATCTCCTTTGCAGGGCAAAAAATCCTGGACATTTTTTACCTTCTAAAATATCCGTCCGGATGGTGATTTAACATGTGAAAACAAGGACATGTCCAAGAAAAACCAGATGTATAACCCTACCCAAGCCCCAGCGCAGACCTCTCTCACTCTGGCCTCGCTGCCTGGCTCCACCACCGCCTCACTCTCTTGCAGCCCAGCTCTGCCACTGCCTTGCCATGTGCCTCGCTCCCCTGTTGCCTCCTGCGCACGTTCTGTCGTACAGCTCCGCTTGGAGGGAGGCGCTGCCACCCTGACAGATGTGTTCTGCCACTACCTGTTGCTGCGCTGCTCCCCCCCAGCCTGGCAGCTCCCACACACATGCCAATGTGGTCTGGCTCAGTGCTGTGCCATGCAGCTCCGCTCACGGGGAGGCGCTGCCACTGTGGCCGACACAACAGGCATGCTCTGCTGTTGCCTCTTGCCACCCTTTCCTCCCCCCGGCTGGCCAGCAGCTATTGCACACGCAGCCTGTCTCAATGCCG